TGTTTGTTTGTTTGTTTGTTTGTTTGTTTGTTTGTTTGTTTGTTTGTTTGTTTGTTGGGGGAGGGTTGTTACAAGCAAGAATATTGCTACGCATGGGTAATTGTTCATATGCGATGATTCATTAGACAGTAACCAAAGATAATTTTTAGCTTTTGCCTTTTAATAGTTTGCAGTGAAAAACTAACACTAAACTCACTAAACTCTAAGATCAGCTAAAAAAAAAAATACCGCAGACATTTAAAGCTGATTTTAAACAGTCCAGATGTGACAGAAGTGCAGACTTTGATCTTTAATTCAAGGGGCTTATTAAAAGTATTACAGCCGTTCATAAACATACTCCAACATTTTTCGTAGCTGAAAAAATGAAATGGACAAACATTTTTGGTTTTTAATTCTTGGATGAGAACCCTTTGCAGTCAGTGACTGACACGGATGTCACTAAATCCTCCCTTGAGGAGGTGCTCTGCCAGACCTTTACTGACCTTCAGCTGCTGCTTGTTTGTGGGTCTCTCTGCGTTCAGTTTCATCTTCAGAAACTGAAAAGCATTCTTTGTGGGTTGTGATCCAGTGACTGATTTGGCTGAAGAATATCACATTTCTTTGCCTTGCGAAACTCTTGGCTTGGTTTTTCAGTATGCTTTGAGTCGTTATAGATGTTTACTTGGATCCTTACTGCCAAGTCTAATGTGGCTTTATTGTTCTTGAGTGTAACCAGTGGTTTGTGCTCTTGATGGTAGACTTTGACAATGGCACACCTACCTCCTCAAGAGACAGCCTGACTTGGTCAGATGTTGGGAAGTTGTTTATCTTAACCATGGAAATAATTCTGTCAGCATCCACTTTAGTTCTCGTCTGAGGTCTTTCAGGCCTTTTGATGTTGTTGAGTTTAAGAAGGTATCAGATTGTTGATACATTGTTTATTATAGATGGGGGGTTTAAGCCTAATGATGGCCTTCTTCAGTCTTTATGTTTAAAATTACAATAAAAGCTATATAATATAGATTCAACACTTTGAGTCAGCTTCAGACATTATGTCTGCTTCATTTGTCATGAAATAACAAGGGAACGGGTCTCACCTGGGGGATTGAGTATAAAAAACAGTTCATGCAAAAGAAAAAGAAAAAATTAAACCCCTTGAATTAAAGCTGAGAGTCTGCTCTTCAAATATGCTGATCTTTTGATTTAAAATTTACTGTGATTGTGTAGAGAGGAAAAACTGTACACATCTCATCTTCATCCTACAAACTATGCACCTGACTCTTTTAAGACCAAACTTTAGTACATAAACTTTTTTTGTTCAAATTAAATCCTAAAATGTCACAGTATGAATAATATTGATGCATCACCTGGTGGATCTGTTAATACAATGGAAACAGACAATGACAGTGTCAACAAAAGTTCTTGTGACCATAAATTACCAGTTTAAATAGAAGTCTGATGAGGTTCAGTTCATCGGTTTTATTATAACTATTCGTAAGTAATAGCCCAAATATTTCATCACCTCAATACCAGAACTCAAACTAAAGAGGCAGCTGTAAAGGAGCCGTGAGACCTGTGCTTCTCTTGTAAGTCAGGTGTGAAACAATGAGCTCATCCCGTCACGGGTCGACTTCTCACCTCTCCAGTTTCAGGTGTGATGTGCGTTTGTTGTGAAGGTTGTTCTTCGCCATGGCCAATAAGGAATCCTGTTTCAGCCCAGACTCTGACACCTTCGATAGCAGATCAGTTACCTGTAACAAGATCAGGTGTTGCTGTATCGTTAACTGATCTAAATTTGCACCTAAAAGCGTACGAGGGCCAGGAAAACTAGCCACGATAAAAGCCTGTAAAACTTTATGGGCATGTTTCTGCAAACTCACATTCTACTGTAAGTAGCTTTTGGGGAAGCCCAGAGGAGACGTTACGGGAAGAACAGCATTTAAGATTTAAGAACTTTCATAACGGTACATCGTGCAAATGGCTCCACAGAGCATCATCTGCCTTGCTGAGCCATAAATAAATAAAAACTTTGGCACTTTATGGAGGTACATCATGTGTTATCATGCACTGGGGGCTCCAGAGCACCAGATTATAATTATTTATCAAAGTAAGAGCACACAAGAGGTAATTATTACAAGGCTTTGCCATTTCCATGTCCTTCCCCCGCAGGTGTGTTGATGGTGATGGGCTGCATGATTTACCCAGATGGTTGGGACTCTCCAGAGGTGAAGAGGATGTGCGGCCAGAGGACAGATAAGTACACGCTGGGAAACTGTACGGTGCGCTGGGCCTACATCCTGGCCATCATCAGCATTCTGGACGCCATACTCCTGGCATTGCTGTCCTTCACGCTCGGCAACCGGCAGGACAAACTTCTGCCAGATGACTTTGAGCTGGATGGAGCAGGTGAGGGCTGTGGGGTGGTATGCAGACTGAATGCTGGGTATAGATACAAATATTTTAATGTGTCATAGCTGGCATAGCACAAGTATAATGTGTGACATATAAAACAGCCACATTCCTTTCAGACTGGCTTGCTGCAAGGTCCTGCTGTTGTGCATGCCTGCTCTCTGTTAAGGCTTGAGCCATCATTAGAAAAAATTGCTTCACCTTAAGAAACGTATCCAAGATTGGAGATTTTTCTGCAGTTTTTTATATACAGTCGTGTGAAAAAGAAAGTTACCACAGGACTCTTTGCAGGCCCGTGAAAAACTAAGTACACCCCATGTTTCAGTATCTTGTAGAAGCACCTTTAGCAGAATTACTTGAAGTTGTTGTTTTCAGTTTGACTATATGAGTCTCTCATGTGTCTGTGGAGGAATTTTGACCCACTCTTGTTTACGAAAATTGCACTTCAGTTCATTGCAGCCATTTAATTGTACACAGATCTCAAGAAATCCCACCACAGTATTTGAGTCAGGTTGAGGTCCGGACTTTCTGGGCTTTCAGTTTGCCATTACAGCTGTTTTCTTGTAGATTTGCTGCTGTGCTTGGGATTCTTGTCATGTTGAATGACCCATTTTCAGCCAAGCTTCAGCTGTCAGACAGATCCACCACCGTGCTTTACAGTTGGTATGAGGTGTTTGTGCAGACATGCCATGTTTGGGTTTTTATGAACCACCAATATGTCTGTGAAGGTTCTCAGTCATCCAGGTCATCGTAGTCAAAGGAGCTTGGAAAGAAAAGCGTCTGGACTTCTTTAAGTTGCTTGAAGACGTTTCACCTCTCATCCGAGAAGCTTCTTCAGTTCTAAGGTCACCACCAAATATCTTCACTTTGGTCTAATCTGTGGACAGGACATTGTGCCAGACGTCTTGAGATTAGTTCAGATGCAACTTTTCAAAGCTAAGTTGTGCTGCCATGTTCTTTTTAGAGAGCACAGGCTTGCTTCTAACGATCCTTTCTTAATTGTACTGTCATGAACTTTAACATTTAGCTTGCTAACTTAGGCCTGTAGAATCTGAGATATAGCTCTTGGGATTACTTGTAGTTTCTCTGAGCAGTGCATGTAGGTCACACCATCACACTGGTCTTGTAACCCTTCACACATTGATGGGTAGCAACAATTCCTTGTAGATATCTTTTCTCTTTGTTAAACACCCAGTTGCTCCAAATCTGCAAACTGCTACAGCTTCTTTTATAGAGGCACTTACTCAGTTATTCAAGTTGGCCTTCAACAAATTTGTAATTAGGTTAAAAAGTTTTATCCATAAACTTTGTCAAATGAGCAGTTTTACAGTTATTTGTTGCCATAATTTGCCCAGTGTCCCAGTGGCTGAAGTCCATTAAATCTTTTTCTTGTTAAATCTGCTCCCTTTAGGGCTTACCGACAGAAAATCATTTTCCTCCATCTCGCCTGATCCCTAGCTTTCTTCTCTGTTACACCAACTCTCTCCATATCCTCCTCTGCGCTCTTCCCCTTTACCTCCTGCCTGGTAGATCCATGTTCAACATCCTGTGTCCAACATATCCAGTCCCTTCTCTGCACATGGTCAAACCATTTCAGCCCTGGTGTCCACAAACATGTTTTCTTTTGTTTCTCTTTTACAGAAAACCCTTGATTGAATCCACAGACCTTCAGAGCCAGTGTAAAATACCATGATGCACTTTGGGTTTTCACCTGTCTGGTCGTCTAATGTTTACTGTGGTTTTGATTAATAAGATTTTGTGCTTCCTTATTTTACTATATTTCACCATACCCAATAAACAAGCCCACCAAAATCATGTATTGTATGAAGATCTGTTTTATTGTATGGTGTGTTGTACAGCTTTGTAAGTCGACAACTCACACAGAGTTTATGTTCTTGAATCTGACACCAATGTAAGTTTTTGTTTTTCCCCCCATAGGTTTCGACAGATAACATAGGTTACTTGGATATGATCTTTTTGGGACACCATGACATAATATCAGATCTCACCATTTCTATGGTAAAAACAGTGACATTGAACAGTTGACCACACATACAACTGATCTCAAACACACCTTCCATACGCTTTATTAAAACACAGCTACCCAGCTAAACAATTTTAGCTAAGATATAAGATTTGTTAAAAACTGTACATAACTGTAATATACATCAAGGCAAACTCTTTGGTACAGATATATACAGTTTATTTTCACTTTTTTTTTTTCTCCTTAAGATTGGGCTTCTTAACATGTTGTCTTGTTGAAACCTTTAAAATACTATATACCTGAATTGTAATAGGTGGATGAGAATACCAGCCTCCCATGAAAATGAAAGATCCCTATTATAATTAGCTAAGGATACTAAATACCAGGTGACAACGGAATCGATATGGCTAAACATGACCTACTTTAATCAAACAGTGACCCTGCCTGAAGAAATGCATGAAATGAAAGTTACCCAAAGTCAGTGTACATGTCAGCCCAGTGTGAAACTTCCTAAAACCTTCATTACAAATACAAAATGTATTTCAAATGTTGAATGAGATTTGTTTTGTTTTTTGTTTTGTTTTGTTTTTTTAAGTCACTACTGAAAAGATGTGGGAAAAGAGTTTTAGGGAACAAAAATGACCAATAACGGCTACATATCCTTGGTTTGTTCAGGTTTTAGTGCAGGAGTGTAACAAACAAGGATGAGTCACTAGCAGTACAATGACAGACTTCCTTAGAAGGGTGAACGGAGCACAGCAGTTTGAACCAACATGAGCACAAAGTAATAAAAAAAAAATCCACTGGATTCCTGACATCACACTGAGAACCAACTAATTCAAAGCAAATGTACACAGAAGCATTAGCTCAAAAACAAGAACAAATTCAAAACATCTAACCAAAAAAAAAGAAGAAAAATAAATATCCATCTGATATGCCCAAACTGGAAAGTGATCTGTTGCAGTCTCTGGAGGAGGTGGGAGGGAAGGGAGGTTCGATAGCTGGAGGTGTCCACTAGAGGGCGAGCCAGGGGTGGCGCAAGCACTCTGCGGCCGTGGCTCTTTTCTCTGGAATAAGCTCCAGCATGGGAAGAAGGAAGTCAGTGAAGCACTCTGCTTCTTCACGGGGCCACTCGTATTTGTCGATCAGCACCTCCAGCAGTCCCCACGGCTTCAACTTAGTGATGTGTTTCAAATCACCTGCGGACAGACAGCACTGCATCAGAACCACACCACTACAGAGTACAACAACTTCCCCATTTTAAACTTCACTTCAAGGGCAGTCATGTCTGCATAACTCCACATACAGTCTTAACAAATGACACTGATTAAATAGTTACCTTGTAATTGCCTTTTAAAGAAGGCCTGTTCTTTTGAACTAATATCCACTGGAGACATTTTTACATGTATTCAAATGTATTCAAATGTATGAATAAGCAGCAATTGGGATTCAAGTAGGGAATATTCCAAAGCACAGTCAGTAACTCTCACTCGAATCTTGACAGTAAAGCTTCCGTTTTACCTTTCTTGGTGAAAAAATCCTTGGAATATTTGCCGGACATTATGAGTTTGCGTGGGACACTCCCCAGCAGCTCAATGATCAGTGCTATATGGTCTATACAGCAGACAGTTGCAAGAAAAAAGACAGACAAGACAAACAGATTCATCAGACAGTGGACCCAGTCACAGGCCCACTCTGGGTGTGTGGGTGGAGGGCAGAGGGAGAGAGAGGCCTGGGTGACGTCACACACACCAGCCTCACTGTTGGCAGAGGACGAGGTGTAAAACCAGAAGTTAGAAAGTTATAAAACAGAGCAGGGAGGTTCATTAACCTTTAGCTCTTTTTTATTGTTCAGTTTGGGGTTTTTCCACTAAAGTTTTTCAGAACAAAAATAATTCCCACCACAAATTCACCCTGCAACTACATTGACAAGACAGGCCCAGATAATGAAAATCATGTTTTTGTACTTCGTGTTAATTATTCATCAACTTTGCTGTCATTTCATCCGTAACTGTAACAGAGGTCTTAACATTTGCAGTAACCTTGGTACATATCAACAAAACAACTCCCACTCAGGGACCTTAAAAGGTTTACATCAAGACTGTCAGTTAATCCCTTATAGACATCCTTAATTAAAGCCATCTTACATTAATTATCATATTTCTGTAAACGTGTACTTTGAGCACATTAAGACTTTATATTCTGACATAAATACACTGACGTATAAAAGTAAAGGGTTCTTGCCTTTTTTGCCTCCTGTGATTGGTTTCATTAAATGATTAAATTACATTTATAAAAAGACTGTTGTTGCGCAGTGGACTCCATGCAGAGGAAAAAGGTCATTCTGAATCTCCTCAGCAGGGACCAATACAGCATCAAGCACCTAGCCAAAATGTCTAAAGGCAGTGTACAAGGCTCTGCCAGGCAGTCTTTGGCAGAACACTTGAATCGTGATCAGTGGTTCAAAGAGGCTGGCATTTATTGGTTTCTTGCTTTGATGACGGGCCTGCACAAAACCATTTGATTGTGCTGACTGAAGTTAACCTCCTCCCTTGACCCTCCTTGTCCACCTTTCCCAGAGTGAGCCAAAGACAGAGGTGCTGGCGTACCTCTCTTGGTGAAGTATTCCTGTGAGTATTTTCCACTCAGAGCATAGTGTCGGGGGATTTTACCGAGCAACTCAATCATGAGAGCAAGATGGTCTGGAAATGAGGCACAGAGGAGAAGAGGAGGAGGAAGATGGAAAGTCACAGGGAGTTTGGAGAGGAGATGGCAAACAGTCAAGTGGAACAATGTATTAGGAACAAAGGATGATGATGATGATGACAGCCTAGTGTTACAAGTAGCACATGTATCAACAGCCTATATTAACCTACTGAAAACATCTGAACACATGGAGCTCATTCACTGTTGTATTTCAGAAAAATGACAACTATAAAGCAAGATGGGAAGTCTGCATTAAAGCACAGCCCTCAAAGCTATACAGTAAAACATAAAAAGCAGACTGATGCAAGTTTACTAAAAGTCTAATAAAACGTTAAACACAAAGCATTTATAGAACAGTAAGCCATGGTTTATGCAGGTGAAAAAGCTGCAGGATGTTCCAGTAAAGTCAAAGTTGAAGGACAGCACAAAGCAGACATGCCAGAGCAGAATCAAGTTAATATGGAAACTTTGAGCTAAGCAGCGAGCCAAAATTCCATTTTCACCTTATGTTTCAATTAGGGCTGTTCGATATAACGATATATATCGGATGACGATATAAAAACGTCTATCGTTTCATTTTCCGCTATCGTTTGTTTCGTGGTGTCGCAAAATAAACTGTTTACGGCAATATTTTTCAACGTTTTGATGGTCACTGTAGTGGCTATATTAATTTCTTAAAGTTCTCTCTTTCTCTTATATTTTATATAACCACACTACGGACGGACAAGCGCCTGTTTTAATGCGTTGTGGTTAGCAACAACGATGGTAACAGCATCGCGTGTCCGCTCGTTTATGTTCCACATAAACCTTCCACAATAAAGCTCAAGATCCTGTTGAGACTTTTCAAAATAAACTGAATCACGTGAAAGAGCAGATTTTTTACGGATGAGAATTTAAAAAAAAAAGAGCTGCCAGGTGCTAAAAAATAAACCTTAGACTCAAACGTTAGAACAGGCTTTTCCCCGCAGCACGCCGTGTAATAAATATTCACAAAGAAAACGGCGGCCTTTACAACTTATGTCTAAAAATGTATCGTTTCATGCATCGGTTAAAACACTCGACTCCAGCTACATGACGTGCAGCTGGAAACACTTCACGCAGGTCGAGCTGCCCGAGATTCACAGAGTTTACAGAAAATGTTACATTTTTGTGATTTATATCGTTATCGGATGATAGAATTCTTATATCGGGATATGAGATTTTGGTCATATCGTACAGCCCTAGTTTCAATTAAAACTTGAGGTGAAAATGGATTAAACATAAAGTATGAGTAACCAGGAGGTGAGGAAAAGGTGAGAAGAGAATTGAAGAGATGGCCCCATCTCCAGTGCGGTAAAGAAGTGGCTCAAGTTGCTAGATAGGAAATACACACAGGAATGCTCATACTTTTCATACTTTACAATTCTTCTTCTGAATTCGAAGCCATTAATGGAGCACCTCATTAACATGTTAACACTGTGCAAAGTGCACTGTAACTGGAGCTCCAGTGAAGGTGAGGACTTGCATGCATATTGGACATTTTAAATAATTCAACAGTTCAACACTGATAACAGAAGATTTAACAACACTATGGTGCTTTTAACAGTAGCAGTAATACTAAACAGAAGTCCCACTCACTAGTGAAACACATTTCAATACATCTACTAAATCGAGCTCTGAGAATTAATGATCTACAGTTAAAACTTGTACTTTAAAAACAGAATGTACAGGAAGACCAGACAATACCTTCATCTCTGGAATAATCTTCCCCAGAATGTGGTTCAAACAAGTAGTCCCCTGTGGCAAGCTCAAATGCCTGAGGACAATACAAACACAGGGAGGGGGAAAAAACAAAAAGAACAGTATGAAGCCATCTGTCCAAATCTCAATAAATCCCTCCCACCACTGACTAGACTCTCATTACACTTCTTGAGTCTTTAAGATACAATGAGGGGGTTTTTTTCCCCTTCAGATAATTTTTTTTTGTTCTATTCAGTTTTTGGGGGGAGTTTAAGCACCTTTTGGCTCTATATAAATAGTTTGATGCAGAGAAAATTTCTCACCATACAGGCTGTGCTCCAAATATCAGCTGGTGTGCTGTATCCAGAACCAATAAGTACTTCTAGAGACCGGTACTGTCGTGTCTGGATGTCTTCAGTAAAGTGCTTGTGCTGAGAGGAAAAAAGACAAATACGAAAACAACAACGTATATCAAGTAGGTTTCATCATGTGTAGCGATAACATACTGAAAAACAGAAATATTTTACATGAGAATAAAAAAATTTTGAAATTATAAATGGACTCTATGCTCTATTTGAAATCTGGATCACACTCCCATCTGGTAAATGATTTCTCATTTTAAAACCATAAAAAGCAGGAATACCGAAACATTACTTTCAGTAGCTAGATGACACTCGATGTCTCCCTGGCTGTACCGTTTCATCACTTATGAGGAAATCCCTTTGGTCATTAGCAGGCTACTCACCACCCAGCAGGCATTTCCCAAATCTGCAATCTTGACCTTGATCTTGTCTGCATTGAGTGGCTCAAGTGGGTTAACTAGCAGGGATCCTGCTGTCAGCTTACCTTTATAAAGCACAGAGAGAAGCAGCGACATTGAATAAAACAATGGGATAAACACTGAATAAATGATAAGTATAATCATAAGTAGTTCAAAGTTCACATGGTTTTTGTTAAATTTCCAAAGCAGCTCAGCTACAGCAAACAGCTTCTAAAAACCTAAACCAATCGATTTCGGTTCACTGACCATTTCGTGCATCTTCCTGGTTACTATAGTGACAGTTGGACCCATCCTCACCATCTTCTTCTAAAATGCCTTGTTCCAGCTCTCCGTCCTCCAGCCCAGCAGAAAAGCGTTTCTCAGTAACTCCACGGCTACGAGCCCCAGTTCCTTTAGTCTCTGTGTACACATCATTGAAATCTGTAGACTCAACACCGTTGTAAATGGAGTGGAGAGGAGACTCCACGTGTTGATCCTCTGGAGAGGCACACTGTTCTGTGCACTCTGCATTGCCATTATGTTGGTCTTCATCGCTATGCTGGAAGTCACTCTCCTCCACATGGCCATTACAGTTCATTTCAGACAGTTCCTCTGGTCCCACCCTCATGTGATCTGCATTCAAAGTGCTCCCTGAAAGTAGCAGAAAATGTATTTTCAGTTGATTCATATCAGATTTTTTGGCTGCTTTGCAAATTTTGCAGAACACATTACTTCTCTGATGTTAGCGTCTTACCATCTGTTTCCTTGTTTCCTATCTCCGCAAAAGACACCTGTCTGAGAGGCGCACAGGCTCGTCCCTTTTCAGTCTGTGGGTCGTCTTCATCTTCATCATCCTCTCGTATCTCTGTGGTCTTTTCCATTTCCTCAAGGTCCAAGATGCACTTCTCCAGCAGCTCCGCCTGCCGCTTCTGCTTCTTTTTTAACTTCTTCTTCTTGTTCTTGGACATTTTTACTGTCTGTCAAAGACAAAAACAAAGGAAAGGTTTGCACATTTGTAGGACTGATTTAAAAGTAAACTAAAAAAACAAAACCAAACCTAAAAACATGAGGCTAATATCTAAGCAGAGAGTAAAAAACAAAAAACAAAAAAACAAGTCTTGTACCTGTTTTGGAACTGGTGCTGTGCTTACTGTAAAGAGAACATGAGATAAGTAAAAACCTGTACTAAACCTATGAATGCAGATATAAAAGTGAGTGTGCATGCACATCTCATACTCGCTGAACCAGAGGGAGGAGGCGCCCCAGCCTTCTGCCACTCTGTGGCTTCAGCTGCAAGCCTCCGTACGTAAGGCTCATCTACGCTCATCAGGATGTTCTCCGGCTTGATGTCTGTGTGGATAATATGACACTTTGTGTGCAGGTAGTCCAGACCTTGGAGAACCTTAAAAAAATAAATAAAATAAAAAAACATACATTAATGGAAAATGGTTATCTGATTGTGTAGATCAAATTAACCAATCACACCGACTTGGACACAAAACCTTTACCAACTAAACTTAAGGAAACTTTAAAAAGAAAAACATATTGCATCAATTTTCAGGTTTTTCTTTTCTTGGAAACAAATATACTAACTTTGCACAACTCAGAGTTCATAAATAATCCTTATTAATCACATTTGGCTTTGCTGCAGTCCGTCAGTTTATCCTCTCTGAAACACACTATTTTAGCTCTTCTCTCTTTAAAGCAAAGGAGCCAAGACTAGGAAAAAAAAAAATCTTAAAAAGAATCCCTAGGGCAGTCTGAAGCCAGAGCGTTTGGTTTGTAGTTAATACACAATGATACTATCATTATTTTAGCCTTGGTGCTGCTTATTGAAAATCCATCCATGTAACAAACACAGCATATAACAGAACATAAAGAAAGCATAAAAGGGTCCCTTTAAGAGAACACAAAAGCTTAACAATCTAAGAAAGTTTTAATAAAAGAAACATTTGCTGTTTTTCAAAGGACATCGAATAAAAAGCTGTGGAATAAACAACACTAATCCACAGATGAGCTGTGCAATTAACTGCTGAATTAGTCATTTGTTTAACCATGAAAAAAAAAAAAGCCCCCTCAGTTTTGCCTCACTCCCCATCTGTTTTGTTAAGCAGCTTACTGAGCCTTAATGATGAGTCATAGGCATTCAAAAGGTGTGCCTGTGGGTCTCACTTTACCTGTCGTATGATGCTCTTCACACAAGCCAGGGGCAGTCCTTGGTAGTTTGATTTTATTATCCATTTCAATAAGTGATGTCCTAACACCTCAAACACCATGCAGACGTCTGAAGATTGGAGCAGTTAAGATGGCAAAGTAATAGCGGTAAAGCAAAACTGAAAACAAACAAAGGAAAAAACAACTGCCTAAATGAGGAGTGGCATTGCTTGTGCTGAAGAAAGGACACGTAGATGTGCAACCCATACGCTTTTGTTAGAGCCTCTCGTGTTACAGCTACAGCAATCCCTCAGGCATTCAGGGGATCTTACCCAACTAAAGTGTTGTGATGGGGGTGGAGGTCTGTTTGGGACACATAAGATTCCATTTGTCACACCCTCACCTGTTGTTTACTTTCTTACTTGCGTACGTTTTGGGGACTTTCCCCCTCCCAGCAGGAGGTAATTTGACAAATCAAATGTGACTAATAATAAAAACCAGGAAACATCTGTTATATCTGGCTGTGAAGGATACGAGTTCCATTGACGCCAGAGATCTTGAAGTCATCTAGAAGCTGGACTACCATCTCTCGGTTGGGATCATTCGTGTCAGAGTTTCTTACCTACAGACAAAAAAAGAAAAAGAAAAAAAAAGAGAAGAAAATATATATATATTTTGTTGTGGGATCCACACACATCATTTACATGTAAAACTGTGTGAACATGCGTGCTGGAAGACATGCAAGCCGAGTACATGAATAATGTGTAAAAGCTGTAGTGTAAGCAATGCCCTGCTGTCCTTGCACCACGTTGCTGTACACTCTGATGCATCTCCAGATATCCCCACAACTAATTAGTGAACACTTCCTGCGCTTACTGATTACATATTTCATCAAAACCTACTGCATGCAATTAAATCTGATACTCACAGATCTGAGCAGTTTTATCTCATCCAGTGCTGTTTCTGTGTAGTGCTCCGCGCTCTTCACCACCTTCATTGCAACAAACCTCTTTACCCTGCAACCACAGAATGTAATGTTCACTAATAGGAAGCAAAGTAAACAGTCTCTGAGCCAGCTGCTGCTGCATCTGGAATCCAATGTCAAGTCTCAAAAACAAAACATGAATTACAAATATGCAGTAAAGTTTTTCTCATACTGAATATCCCAGGCGAGCCACACGGTGGAGAAGTGTCCCCAGCCGAGCTTCCGAATTACATGGTATTTTCCATTATAAAGGTCTCCTACTTTCACATGGTGGTAGCCACCTAAAAGATAAGAAATTCAAGCTGCTTAGATAAATAAAGAGGTGAGCATGTATGCATGCATGTATACAGAACAGCCAGTGCATTTACATTCACTGTAATAACAGGTCACAACTAACCAAAGCGACACCATTTATTGAAACAGTCAAATCAAATATTGATTTATCTGTTTAAACTAAGGTGCAAATCGCTAATACTCTTTTCTTTTTTTTCTTGTGGGGAAAAAACCAACCAACCAAAAAAAACTTGAATCAAATACAGTGCAATATAGTGTGCCTTTGAATGCTAAAAGTAAAGAGGAACCCACCTTTGCAGTAGTCATTGGGGTCCTCCTGCTCTTCATCATCAGAGCCAAGGATCTCTTCAGGTTCCTCAGGTTCCTGAGGGGAGGCTTCAGCCTGAGGATGCTGTCGAGCTCTGGGATTGGCTGGCTGCCTGATGGGACAACAACAATTATGAAAGACGTCGATGGAACAGAGCTCTGATGCATTTACCGTCCATTTATCAAATATTAGCTCAACAATAAGGCGTGCCCAGGATGAGAGGATTTTATTACAGGACATGCGGGTGAGACTAACTGAACAAGACTGCAGCTCATTGATAACCGATGAGTTCGACTCTTCTACATAGCAGGAAAGAATCAAAGCTCAACCTTTTACTTCCAAAAACACTGCAGAAATGGTGAACAGCTGTACAGTTTAACTTAAACAGATGCATTACAAAGCAGTGGGAACGTTCTCCTGCCTCTCCTGGGATCTGACCTTAATTGGCTGAAAAAGTAAGTGGCATTAACTAGCTAGCATTAGCAACTGAGTAATTCACTCTAACACTAATACTTTACTGAACAACATAATCATGTTAGCCAAGCACCAACATAGAGTGTGCCTGCTCTGGATGATCAGTCACAGTGATGGACATAGATGTTTCAAAATCACCTCCTGTATAAACGGCTAACTAGAGACAGGAAGAACTTCCTCATCAGCCAAGTTTTTTGTTGCATAAACATAACCCATATAACACAGCATTTATTAAAAAAGCCTCTCACACAAAATAATCAAACATGACAAGAACCACTCGTTCTTAAACAAACGACACCAGGGCTGATCGCAAAAAATAAATAATTGGTGCACATCTGGCGTATGTATAAAGCTACAAATAGACAACTGTTTTATAAATCTATCATAAAGGAGGGTTATAACTGTAAGCATCCACAGTCACATTTCAATCACTGTGAAAATGTGAAATGTCAACCACAAATAAAACTTTACTCCAGGGTAATATGTCATCTTTCATTGCAGACTTCAATTAACCCACAACTACCTCTTTAAAAAAATAAAAATAAAGAATGCATATGTGTAATATGAAGAAACTATGAATTAACTTGGGTTGAGGTGAGGACTCCTCATGAGGTAACATGGACCTTGCTTTGTGCGCTGATGTTGGAATAGGAAGGAATCCCCAAACGGTTCCCACAAAGCTGGAAACATAACATTGTCTTGGTATGCTGAAGCATTAATAACCGTTTTCCCACTTGTACCTACTTGGGCCGGCTCAACACAGTTTTTAGAGTTTTCCATTAGGTGGTAGTACCATGGTAATAGGCAATTTTAGTACCTACTAATTTTTGAAACGTGGCAACGAGGAAAATGGAAAGAAAAGAGAAAAAAAAAACAAAAAACCCCAACAACTCCCACTGTGGTCCCTCGAGATTGGCAAAAAGTTGTACTCCGAGCAACAGGTCTATGCTTCTCCATTGTTGTGGTGATCATGACGCATACAAATACTCCACGCATGTTAAGCGGTAACTTATTGTAATTGAAAATGACCGAAACAGAGTCAAATCATGCAGGTACTAGTGAAAAGGGGCTAGAAGAGTTCCTTTCACTGAAACTAAATAGCAGAGCACAAGTTTTGAAAAAACAACGTCACACCATAGTTCCTTCCCCAACTTTATACTTGGCACAATGCAGTCAGATAAGTTCTGTTTCTCTGGCTATTACCAAACCCAGACTCATCCATCAGATTACCAGACAGAGAGAACAGCATGAGTCTTCACTCCAAAAAACTCCACTCCTCTAGAGTTGTATCTGATGCGCTGGACTGTACTTGGTGACATGAGCCTTGGAAGCAACTGCTCGCTCCTGGAAACCCAGTCCATGACGCTCTCTGTAAACTCTTCTTGAGCTAATCTGAAGGCCACGTGAAGTTTGGAGGTCCGTAGCGAGTGACTCTGCAGAAAGTTGGTGACCTGTGTACTATGCACCTCCGCATCTGGTGACCCTGCTCTGTAAATTTATGTGGCCTACCACTTAGTGGCAAACTTGGTGTTGTTCCCAATCGCTTCCACTTTATTATAATACCACTAACAGTTGACTCTGGAATATTTAGTAATGAAGAAATTTCACAACTGGACTTGCTGCACAGATGGCATCCTATCATGGTACCACGCTCAGGGCTTGCAAAATCGCTAGCCTGACGTCCCGGGGCTAGCGATTTTTCTGGTCGGGCTACCAAAATCCATCTCAGCCCTGCCCGTCAGGCTGTCATAGGAAGAAAAAAAAAAAATATGTCAATGCTTTTGCATTCTTTCACAAACGTGGCTGTCAGTATGTGACATATTGAAATCGCGTTTGAATTTCCGCTTGTTTTTTTGCTTCACTTTGCGATCGCGCAGACTGTGAATAGAGAGCGGCAGCTACTGATTGGTGAGTGACGGATTAATTGCGCACCAATTCCTCTGACATCGTCTTATCACTCATTAGCTTACTATTCAAACGTGACAAGTGAAATCTCCCGCAGCAAGCTTAAACATGTGATGCAGGTTGAATGCGCAGAGAATCGTTGATCATTATGCAAGTGCCTGTGTAAAAGCAGATGGATTTACGCAGGTATTTTAGTTCTGCAGAGCCAAATAAGACAGGTGAGGGTGAAGAAGGGACAGCCAAAGAAAAGCCGACCACAAAACGGAAAAGTTATGACAAATCAGGCTATGAGGCAAAAACAAAAGTGCAGCTTTTTTTGGTTTCATGGACAAAAGAATTTCTGTGGCTGGAATATGACGAGCTAAATAACAATGTTCTGACGGGTGTGTCTTGAGTTTCCCTCGATTTCCTAGTTGACAAGCACCTTTGTTACTGGGACCAGTAATTTTAAGAAAGACCCCATTAGAACCCATGAGAAATGCAAGAAATGCATTATTGCTCAGTCTGCAGTATCTTTCCCAGAACAAACGCCAATTGCAAAAAAACTACTAAAAATAAACCAAGCACAACAAGAAGTCCAGAAGAAACGCAGAAGAAAAAGCTGTTTAGAACAGCGCGATGTTGCAAAGCGTGAACTACCTTTGGCAAAATTTAGCAGCCTTTGCAAACAAAGCAAATGGCCTAGATCTTGGTTCCACTTACCTCTTACCTGTGACTTCAGTGGAAATGTCAGATTCAGGATCTGACACAGACTGATCCATGTTCTACACAGTTCATAGAAATTTCCGTTCAATTAGGGCCAAATATTTGAGTTGATGATTGTATTTTTTTTTACAGTTGTTGTAATTTGTGTTTTAACAATTTTTTAAGTCAATCAAAAAATTGTCCTTTTTTTTTTTTCCCAGGCTACTTAAATTTATTTTGGGCTACCAAAAACTGAAGAGTGTCTGCCCGAAGGGCTACCAGAGATTTTGAAATTTTGCGAGCCCTGACGCTGGATTTCACCGAGTTCCTGAGAGCGAGCCACTGTTTCACAAATTTTTATAGACAGTCTGCAGGTGCCTTATTTTATACATCTATGGACATGACTGGAACACCAGAATTCAGTGGCAGAGTGAGTATTTTTGGCATGTAATGTTTTGGCATATGACCATAAATAAATAAAACAGTTTTGAAGTATTACAGTAGTTTGACAGTTACTTAACCAAACATAAACCCACATTAAAGGCAAATATTTGCAAGGCAAAACAATAGAGCAGTAGCAGATAAAAGTCCATTAAAGTCATAGCAGGCTGTTAATTTGGATCATGTCCCCTTGAAATTAAACCACAAGTTTCAGTGTAATTGCCTCCAGTTTGTTGCTTTGACCTTGTTATCAGTAAAGAAAGATTAATGAGCGACTGTTCCAACCAAGTTTAATTAGTTTTAACAAAATAGCAAGGTGTGTCTAAAACTTTGTTTCAAACAAATCTTGCAGCTATCTAAGTAATATTTAACTATTAAAATATTCACAAACGGTTATTATATTAATAAAAACGGCTAAATGTGTAACCGAGCGCTGGCAGTGACAAACTGCAAGCAGAAAATGGAAGCAAATACCATCTAAATCGCTGTCAACGATATATATATATTTTTTTCAACTGGATTTGAACATCTGCTTTTAACCATAGTTTAAACCAAAACAAGAAGTTGGCCTGTCAAAACAACCCTACCACAATAATACCACACTGACACGCTTTCTGCCAAGGAATATCACACAACCAAATTAAAGAAGGCATTTAAAGAAACGCATGCTGCACTCAGCTTACTTTACTGCAGGCCTAATGTGTGCGTGTGTGTATCCGCATTATGAAAGACAACATCAACCTTGCTGAATCAGACTGAATACTGAGAAGTTTCCAGAATAAGGGGACAGAAAACTGTGGCTACATTACGAGCAGAAGTACAAGCCTGCAAACAAATTATGTTCCAAAATTACTAAGTGAGTTATACGGTCATTGTGTCAAGCAGTCAGACAAATGAAACGTCTGTGCATATTACATTTTTCAAATATAAATCGCTGTGTGCAGACTTTCATTTTGACTAAAACTCCAGTGACAGATTGATCAAACCCAACATAATGGAAAACAGGACAACCAATTCTTTTCTAAATGCATATTTGAAACATATTTCTGTATATATTTTTTCCATGGCTCTGCAAGCCCTAAATAACAGAACATATTCTTTCCATGTTTATATGGAACCACATACATTCTGGCTTTGCCAGTAATTCAGTTCCTAATATTTACTTGAAAGCCAAACAGCCTGATGTTACTTCCTCCACAGAGCAGATTAAGCCTGCTCATCTCTACTGGAGCCAAGAGAGCAGAGATCACATTCAACTAAATTCCTACAACTGGGCTGCAGTGTTTCACAAATGAGCTGCTGGTTTTCTACATAATCCTGCAACCTACTTCTTTGTGCCTGACATGGTCAGCTGAAGCGGTGCATGTTTGTCCAAGGATGACAAAATAAACTGATTCAAATAATTACTTGGTATGAATCTTGACTTTCTAATCAAGCTTTGAATCTGAAACGCATTCATTATATTTTAAATCATAAAGCTGGTAAAAACAAGGCAGTAATTTAATACTGATTATCTGTACAGTTCTCGTGTTGTCTGCTTTAACATTTACACTGCTGCATTATTAACACATTTTAAAACATTTTTTGCATCTTGAGAGGTAAATGCATGGCTTTTCAAATTCACTTCAAAATGCAAATAAATACATCGTCTAAATTACATACTCACTCATGCATTTTCATTCACAGAGAGAGAAAGCAGATGAAGCATATTTGAATGCAGAGCCAGTCTCAGTTAGTCATCCTTTCATTATAAAAAGCTTTAATATTAGGTGTGTGCACCTTGTTTTAATGGGCCTCATCCTTTTGGGTGTGAGGACAAATGTCTGATGCACATTTTCCTTCAGACTCACAGCACTTCAAAACATTAACCAGTCCACTCCATTATATCCTCTGAGGTTGTTTTGTTCGTCTATACATGCAGTGCCCATTGTGCTAGGATTACTGCAGAATGCAGCTGCTCTGCTTTAAGTTGCATTTAGTTTCTTGGTATCACATGATTCTTACGGCTAATAAAACATTCAAGTATGAGCCATGAAGATAATGCTGTCAGGAGGAGAGTATCCTCAATGGTGCTGTTTTCAGTTAAACACCATGCTTCGGTGGGCTGATGTGGGCTTCTTCATTCTCTTGTTTTAAATATAGCACTGGCTGTTATGCAACGCTCTGGAGGATGCCACTGGTGCAGGCATGATTAGTAGATTGTTGGGCACACCAAAACAATCGGTACTGGAGATCAACGCTTGACAGCCCTATTTACAGCAACTAATCATTCAGAAATATTTTCAGGTGATCACAGCGTTTAAGTATTATATTCCTGGTATGGCTTACAGAGCACCCAAAACTTGTGCTTTTTGTTTTTTTTTACTAAAGCACTGTAGAGCAAAAAGAAAAAGCTGTGGCGTGTGCAGACCAAAACAAAGTTTAAGTGCAAACAAGCAGTCAAAGGCCTTTCTAACAGCTTCTCCAATGTCAGAACAGCAGCAAATACACCAAAGTGCAACAAACAACCTGCTTTGATTGAGTACAGCTGACAAAATACTTGTTCATGTGCGGGTGTCCTGAAAAACGGGACACACATAAGAGGGAATGACATTTAAATGGAGCAGTGACTCACTTTTTGTTGGTTTTCTTTGCTTTCACCCTTTTCTTCCTCGCCTGGAGTGCCAGCACTGCAACAACAACAAAAAAGAATAGAAAAACCATTGTCTGTTTGCCTTCTTGATTTCCAGCTGACACTCACGACAAAACAAACGAAGCCATCTGAAATAAACAATTACCTCACTCCAACGTTCATATGCACCGTGTTGGGTCATGTTTGCACCTAACAGTATCTAAAATCAGTGTCAGTGCATGTGTCGGTTTGCCAGAACCCATCCAACGTTAAGTTACATCACTGAGCTTCCCACCTAGGCAACGCTCGTCTCAAACACGGTAATGTGGCGTGAAGTGATTTCAGCCACTACAGCGGCTAATTATGGACTCATACATGAATGCACGGTTACCGTGGCCGGTGTTACGGGCTGTGTTTAAAATGGAAGGAGCTGGAGAGCTAAATGTATCGAGCTAATCCTGACATGTCCTATTGAAGCTAAAGCTAACGTCTAGAGGGCTAGCGCTCCAGCTCAGTGCGCGACAGACGCGTTCAATTAAACCGCGTATCACAATGTATGCTGCTCGGCGAAAAATAATGTTTTTATATTTGTCACTGCACGACAACATCGACTGTTACGGCAAACCGCACACACAATGTGTTACACCAGTCACACAGCGTGCAACGTGTCGCGTGAAGATTTACCTTTCCTCTCCATGTCGGCTGGATCCGTAGCTTAGCAGTTAGCTACACAGCCAGTGATCGAATGTTCCACGCATGCGCACTGGCTTGCTATGTCGAAGGGAAGCTTCTCTGGTGACGTCTCTGCCCGTGTATCAAACCGTTTTTATGGATTTTAGGGCAAACTGCCTTATAAAGAAGTATTTAAAGCAGCCTCACTGGTAGCCGTGCAGCTCAGGAATTTAACCTTTTATTTACCTTTCGTGCATGTTTTAACTAAGGCAGCAGTGTAGGTAGGTGGGTTAAATGAACGGCATGATTGGTGACGTGATTCAGTGGTTTGTGCCCAGATTGGGATTAATATTAAAGTGTTGGTAACCTTTGTTATACTGGATGCTGATAGCAGTACAGAACAAGCTGACTGCATGGTTTGGTAAAAGGCAGACTGTAATTTACATAGCTGGACACTTGATAGAATTGGCAGGCTCAAATTAATAGCTTCTATATTAGTGTTACCAAATATTTTACACTGATAACGAAGTGCAATATTTTTTATCATGTATTTTTTTTCGGACATTACAACATCAACAAAGGTTTAACGTATAAAGAAAATCAATGTTTAATTTACAAGCAAAGTGCAAGATTATGCAACTGAAATTGTCACACTGCAAAAAAAAGTGAAAAATATAATTTAGTTATTTATTTTAAATGTACTGGGGGAATGCATATTTGATAAATTCATATTAGGTTTTAGGGACATAATACAGAGCAAGCCATAATTCTACCAGCACGGTGGTGGGCAAGTGGTGATTTGGGTTTGTGTTGCATCCACAGCACATGGATACCTTGCAGTCATTGAGGTGACCATGAATTTGTGTGTGTGTGTGTGTGTGTGTGTATATACTAGAGATAAATGTGAGGCTGTCTGTCTGACAGCCAAAGTTTGCCTCATGCAATACTAGACTGATCTCAAGCATAGCAGCAAATCTACAAAAGAATGGCTTATGTTGTTGCAATGGTCCAGCCCTAACTGATATGCTGTGCTGGGTCCGTAAAAGGGCTGTGCGTAAATTAATACCCACAAACCTCAACGAACTGACGCAAATTCCTCCTCAATGATGTGAGAGGCTGGTAATCACACAGAAAACTATTACTTCAATTTACTGCTAAAGGTGATTCCACAAGTCCATGAATCATGGTAAGGCATCATAGTTAGAGATAAGTGATTGGCTTGGAAATAAGGATAAAAAATTAAAAACAAAACAATCTCTTAGAAATAAGTCTTTATTTTGTTAAACAAAGGACTTAAAGCAGTAGTTACTCTGCAAAATTGAAAATAGCTCAAGGGATCCTTTGATTGCTTATAAATACCAGCTCCACAAAGTATAAATACAAATCCCTCCTTTTACACATTTAAGCTGCATTTTTATTAAAAGCTATGGCACGACACTTGAATTCATATAAACCAACAACACACTAGCGAACACACACAATGTCTTGACGTACATGCTAACAGTGATTGCTTCAGAACATGTGTGAAATTTTAAAAAACATGGAACATATATATTTACACAATTTGAGCAAAGCATGTACTATGCAGATTTCTCTTCATATTTATGGGCCTTGGTGAAAAAAATAATAATAAAACCCTACATAGGAAAAGGCTCAGATTTCATCTAACTAAATTAATCAAATTGAACAGTAAAATGTGAGAAATCTAGTTGGTGAGCATTAAAGTTCAGTGACTGCACAAAGAAGGCACATTGTCCCAATTGTCAAACACCTAAAAAAACAGAAATGTACGTCTGTCACAGAAATTCAAGAATTGGGGGCAACTGCTTGGAAGTGGTTCACTAGCAAACTCCTTTTTCAACTAACAGAAAAATGCTCATCCATAAATTAATCAAAAAACAAAAACTAGCACAGCAATAGGTCAAAGTGTTTCAGCATCTCAGCGTCACAGTGAGGAGTCGAAATAAAGTCTAAATATTAAATAGAAAACTATTTTAGTTGTTGGCGAGAAGGGACGTTTTCCAGCAACTGACCAACATTAAGTCATTTATAAATAAGAATAACAACTTTTTCTGGTTATGTTTTCTCAATAGACTAATAAGGGCTGGTGTGTGTCTGAGACTTTAAAGCATAAGTTATGTAGTCAAAAGCTTGAGTTGAACTGGTGCCGCGTCTCATTACTCTGTGTCATCCTCATCATCAAAGCTAGGTGGCTGGAAACTGCACACCTCCTCAAAGGTTAATCCTGCAAAAAAGGAGAAGATGATTTGTTTCTTTACCGAGGAATACATCAGCATGCTGTCAGTTTTAGCACGAGAAGACGTACGTTTCCACTCATCGATCTGCAGCTCCCGGCTCTCGAAGCTCTGGTCGTAAGGCTCTGCTTCAGGCTCGTCGTCTGGATCGTGGTATTGACCGAAGTAGGGGTGGGCCAGAGCTTCAGCTGCCGTTATCCTCTTATCCGTATCCAGAACCAGCATTCTCTCCAGAAGATCCACAGCTTAAAAACGCATCCGCATGTAAACATGACTGAATCACACTCAATCCCATTGTTTCTTTATGTAAACTTTGTAAATCATAGGGAAAAACCAGGTTCTCTTTGGCATTACCGAGTGGGTTGGCGCCAATAAATACATCAGCAAAGCTCCTCTTGGGCATGTGTGGCAAGGAGCTGATGTAGTTTCTGGCCTGTGAAGACACATCAACAGAGTAAACCAAACATGAGTTCCTACCAACAGCAACATGTCGTGACACATTATTTCATTTAACTTTTTCCAACCTGTTCGGCTTTTCGATCTATCCACATCTGTGCTGCGTTTCCTGATGAGTGCAGTTTACAGTCAACAAGTTCCTCTTGTGATAATTAGAGCATCTTTAAAACTAGATTTATGAAGAATTATTATTGAGGAACTTGAGCTTGTATTATGTATTGCTACAG